TCTGAAAGGTTTTTTGTATGTAGCACTGAACTGTATTCAGTACAAATCTGAAAACTGGTGTGGACAGTTTGGGTTATGCTTTTTTTACACATAATTATAAGAAAATTATGTTATTATGATATTTTTAAAACTTATATTGAAATCCTGTCTAGAGAACACTAAAGAATGCAAACAAGTTATCTTGAAGGTAATAAGCCTTATTTCCATTAGAAAAAGGACAGTTTATACTCCAACAGTCAACCAATGACTGTGATTCTCTTCAGAACAAGTTTAAATGACTAAGAGTAGGGGAAAAATCTGTAGAATGGTTGTGAAGAAACCAGAAAAACTGTGCTATGAAGCCAACTATGACAGGGCTGGTCCCACTCCAGCTCCTCTAGGTAGCGCTTCACCACTTTGCCTGCCAATACCTTGACATGAATGGTATATGTTACTTTGGGAAATGGCCCCAGTGTCCTGGAGTGATCCTGGTGGCACTGCCCTTAGTCTGACTTAGCTTATTTAGCTGGTCCCTTGATCCTACTTGTCACTGGACCTTCAGTCTGCTAATAAAAACTATTCCAGTCTTTGCCAGCATCATTTGTGCCCACCTGACATTAATCTTGCCCTGTGGGCACCAATCATGTCCCTACAAGTCCTAATCATGGTCTCCAGCTTCCCCCATAACCATGTCCATGCCTCATGGGTCTCACTATTCTATCTGCTAGGCTCCCCGATCCCTACAAGGCTTGCTGCCCCCAGCCTATGAACTACCTGGCTTTAGCTCTCACAGGCCACCAGGTCCCAGACACTTGCAGGGCTGGCCTCAACCCCTTGAGTTGTAGTGCTTCCCAGACATCCCACCTGTGCCCTCTAACCACCCCTGCAGTCGTGTCCAAACCTTCGTTCAAAATAGAAACACAAGCAAACAGCCTCAAACTAAAATGCTTAAACCCCACTCTGGGTCCCTATTCTACAAGAACCCCTATTCCTCTGTTAGCTGTCTCCTTCCAGTGCTTTAGTGTACTCTGGGTGCCTACAACCTTACTCCCTGGGTGCCAGCAACCTTACTCCCTAGCAGCAACTTCCCCTGCAGCAGTCAGGGTCAAACTGCCTAATCTGTCTCAGAAACAAGTTTTATACACCCCTAAGCATCACCCCTTCCAATCGCATAATTTCCTAACCATGCACAGGGATTTCTCCTTAGCCCACTAAACCAGCCTTCCTCTGCTGCAGCCAACCCAGCTGTTCTGCCTGGAGTTCTGCCACTTGCTGCCTATTGCAGGGCATCTAGCTCCAGAGCCACTCTCTCTGGCTAGAGACAAAAGTTACACACACACCAATTTAAGTGATCAGAAACTGGTTTAAACCTGTAACAGAATAAGAGTTCAGTGCACATAAACCAGTTTCAAAATAGCTAAAACTGGTAAACCTTGTTGAATGCAGTATCAGACTTAACTGACTTTGGTCAAACCAGTTTATGAAATGTCTGTTCCAGACCCTTTCCTGGTTCAAGTTAAATCAGAGTCCCTCAGCATCCCAGCATTTTGCATCCCTGGGCCACGCTGCACTGTCTGCTCCAGAGACAGGGCTGGTCCCATCCCTCTGCTCCCTAGCTGAAACAGTGAGGGCTGGAACACTGGATGGCTCACTGGCAAACCCTAGCTGGGATCTGGGGCCAGGGAGTGGAGTTAAACTCCCCTTCCCCCAAGTACAGAGCTGCCCTCCCTGTCCTGCTGGCTTACTTACTGCTGGTTGCAAATGTGAACTACAAGTCCCAGAGGCATCTGGAAACAAGAAGAGGGAGTGATGAGCAGCCCTGCAGTCCTGCTGCTGTGATTGTGAACTATAAATCCCAGAGACTTCAGAGGCAGCAGGAAGAGGAAGGGAACACATAGCCTATGCTGGCTATGTGCCAGAGAGCTGTACCATAATGCCTACCCCCACCACCTTTTCTGACTGGAGCCATTGCTGGCCAATGCACTTCCCAAATCAAAACTAGATGTCTATGCATGTGCTTATTGGTTCAATTTCTGCATCGTAGACCGACCTGCAAAGACTGAATCAATTCAGCCTTGGGCTTTTTGACAGTCTACACCTAGCCACTTTGGTAGCTCCTGTTCCTGTTGCCTCTACATTTTAGCAACTGGCCTTTACTCAGCTGCCTCCACCAGACTGCAGGTCTTGCCCTGATGTCCATGTCCTCTTAAAGTGACAGGAGTCCTTGCTCCCTGTTACACCAACTTGCTATCACACCAACACATTTCATGAATGTGGCCAGTGTTTTCAGAACTAGATAGAACAGACTCTTTAAACAGTGATTAAGATCCAAAGACCTGGTTCTCCAGGCTTATATCCAGTTTTATACAGATGTGACTCTACAGACATTAATCAAATCCTCTTGACAGAAAACTGTTGAAACATGATGGAGAATCAAGCCTTGAAGTCAAGTATGAGAAGCTCCATGGCTAGGGATTGGATGAATATGAGGGTCACTCTACATACAGTTAATAACAATAGCATTTGCTAGAACTGACTAGAAAGTATTCCAGTCCCAAGCATCAGTAAATCTACACAAGAGAAATAATCTATTTGGGATATCAAACAGTTTCTGAAATATACATTTTATTGGCAAATGTTTAGGGAGATACAAGGAGTACCAGGTACATGGTGCATACACAAAAGGAGGGTTGACTCTTTATTAGAGAATTTTCAGCTGCCCAGTTTTTTTCTTAATCAAATAAGTTCTGATTGCTTTCAAAATCTCTTTTTGTAAAACTATTTTTGTCTCCTTTGGTATAATATGACTTGGCTGTGATGAGAAGGTGAAATGTTCCTTTTTGTGACCCTTTACTTCTTATTGTTTTAAAAACATTATGATTTTTCTATTTTTCCAAAAATTCTCTCAGCTTGCATAAATCATTTGTACTTTCGCACTGCTACAGATTAGCAAAACAAGTACTTTGGTTTTTGTAGCACTTAATCTAAACATTGTCCACAGTCAGTAATATGTCTTTCACCTCTCCATAAATGGATGCAAGGTAGAATAAATCTCCCTTAATGATAGTAATGTCTGGGGATGCAGTTTTGTTGGGCATGCTTTATACTCATGACCTCTGTGATGTTAGAAAGAGATCTAAAACCCCCCCGTGGTGACAACTCTCACAAACATAAATTCAACACTGCCACCACGGAGATCACTGGAAGTAACCTGGCTTTGAGTTTATGCCTACTAGGTTAAAATCTCAGATCTACAAACATACCCGTTACAGTTTTTATTCTGTAACTGAAAAAATTATGTTAGATGCAATTGGCTAGATATTAATTTATCAAGCTAAGCATTATTAGAAAACAAGCAAGTAGAGTAGAAAAGTCCACATATTAAAAGCATTTTTTAAAGTTGTGAGAGCATTTGATCAGTATGTTATAAAATATGATACTCTTTTCCAAAAGATTTTATATGCAGTTCTCTATGTATTACGGTAGCTATTCACACTTTACTTCTTCAGTTTTTATAGCCTCCCAGTAATCCTACAGAATAGTAAATACAGTTACTATAACCTTCATAGCTGCAGTAGAAAGAGATTTTTAAAGATGAAAGCCCCAATTCCCCTCTCCTGTGCATCAGTGTAAATCAGGAATCACTTCTTTCTAGTCAATACGGTGACAGTATAAAACTCGTGTAAGTGAGGAGAATTAAGGCCACCAATTTATAAGAAAAGCTTTCCTAAAAGTAAAGAAACAAACTGCCAAATGCCATATGTTAAAGGCATACACTGCACCCAGGTGTCTAAGACTAAATGATTAAGAGTCCCTCTTAATGAGTCAATACTTGAAAACAATGGAGCTATACCAATTTACACCAGCTGAGAATCTCATCTAATGCCTTGAAAATGAATGATAGGCTGCATTTAACAAGGCATTCATATTTCTTGTGAAGCAGAAGCTTTTCCAAAGGCTTTAGCAGGGAGGTAGAAAGATTACCAAATGATCAAAATCCCTAGACACGGTACATTTTCACCTTAGAGGCGCACACACGCACACGCGTGCGCACACACACATGCACACCCAGAGTGAGAACACCACTCATCAGAAGGAAAATCATGCAGTAAAAGAGATGCCTCCAAATCAGTGTAAGAGAGAAAAATCTTTTAAAATACTCCTGGGACTAGGGACTAACTGGTAAAGGAAGAGCGTTATTTTTTCACGGAGCTAATGAGCCAGACAAAGAATTATTATTGCTCAGTATAGATTTTTTCCCCTGACAACTCTCTCTCCAAAACAAAGGTGCCAACTCGGTAAACAAAGAGAAGATGCACTTTAGATCTGGATGGTATGAGTCCAGGAATATTTTATCAAAGGAAAAGAAGACCTTTGAGGAAAGACACTGAAAGACATGCAGATTTTGTCTTGCCTTTTTCCAGAATAAAAAGAAAGAGGGGGATCCTGCACACTCCCCCGCACGGATCTGACATAAAAGGAGGTCAGTAACATCTGACCACAAGGAAGGACTCAAAAAGCCAAAGCCAACGGCAGGTCCTAAGAGTGCCATTCGCATGGCAGGGCGTAAAACCCAACTTCACTTTGTCAGTTGGTTGGACTTGCCAGCACACACACAGACAGACAACAGGCGCCCCCTCCTACCTCCCAGCGCTGCCTCAGCACCGCGACCCCGGCTTAACCACCAACTTGATTCCCAGCCCGGAGCTGTCAACCTGACACGAGGCGGAGGAGTTCTTCTAAGCGGCCAAGAAAGACCCAGGCGGAGGGGCAGCAGCCGGGCCGGAGTGAGGGAGTCTCCCCCAGGGCCCGGGCACCCCGCGCTGAGGGAGGGGAAGGGAGGGCAGCGGAGCAGATTATCTCGACTACCACCAACAAATATTAAATCAATCACTAAAAAACTGAAGCTCGGGGCAGTGGCGGTGCTCGGAGAGAGGAGGGCGGGGGCGGTGCTCGGAGAGAGGAGGTAGAGGGCGACTGGGCAGCCCCTGGCCCCCGGCCCCGACCCGGCGGTCACTCACCAGCTGCAGCGCGCAGAGGAAGACGAGCGTGCAGCGCCCGGTGCAGCAGCCCATGGTGGCAGCAGGGGGCGGCCGCGCGCG